TCTCTTCAATGGATGCAGGATCTCACAATCCACCCCATTTCGGGGTCTAGCGTCCTTCTCCCTCCGGGGCTTAACGTCTTCGCTGGCATACCACCTGATGTCTTGCTCTGGTACTATTTGTAACAGCTCGAGCTCACTGTTAATAGATATTGTCCTGTTTGGACTTCCCTCAAGATTTTTAAAACGCGTTTGTTAGGAAGAGATTTCTACACCTTTATAAAGAATGTTTCATTCCTCTCTCCAACCGACGCGAGATCTCACAATCCACCTCCTTCGAGCCCCAGCGTCCTCGCTCGCACTCGTTCCCCTCTCAAATCGATGTCGGATCTCATAGTGACTATATTTTTACAGCGAATCAGATTCTCGTTACTATTTATCTTCAGTTTCGCTTCAAAAAATTTATTAGTACCTAGTCGAAACAAAGTCATTTATCATGCTAAAAAATGCACGGGATAATCTAAGCAATTACTAGAACCATCTCAAATGGGTTAAATGCTTGTAAATAGATCTAGTATGAATCCAAATATTCGATTAAAAAAAAAAAAAAGCAAATCATTGAACCATTTATTTCTTTCTCAAAGTGGTTGGTGGCCCTTTTCTTTTGTCTCTTTATTTCGTAATTTATTATTTTCTTTTAAATATATAATTTTATTCCCAAAGTATTTAATGTCGGTTTAGCAAGATATATGAACGACTATGAATAAGAGCAAGGACAACAATATCAGTATTGAAATTTCAATTTTATAGATATATCGATTTTCACCTGCATTTTTTAAAATAATTTAATTATCATTCTTTTTTTTTTAAATATTTTACGAGTATTTATAAAAAATATTGAGATTTTCATAATTAATTATGATTAGAAAATTTGGACCAATTAAAAATATTTTTAGAAATGTACAATAAAAATTAGTTTGAAAAAATATTTAAAATTCATTAAAAAAACACTTAACTAACTTATTTAGAGCATGTTTCTATTTTTTAAATGTATATTAATTTTATTTCCCTAAGAATTGATGACGTGGAATTAGGTGTCCGAATTTAACCAATTATGTGTATTTATTTATTTATTTATTTATTTTGTGTGAATTTCAACTTAATTAACAAAAAAAATATTATTATTTATAAATATTTATTTAATTCACTTAATTTTATTTTTAATCAAGTAAGCACGTGCAGAAGCATCTAGTCTATGACATAAGTTTTTCAAATAATTATAAAGAAAGTCAAGTATCTTTACTTTACTTCTACCTATTATCTAACGGTTTTTTTTTTATTATTTAAGAATATCCAAATATCTTCAAAAATTCATTAAAAAAATTATTATTTACGGTCCCGTAAATCACGGCCAAGAAACTCAAGGTTATATTTTTGAGTAGATCTTGAAAGGAGAAGAAAAGATAGAATAAGAATATCTATTGTTAAATTTACCGGACCGACAGTACCCTATATTTATTTTATTTAAATAAGTAAATATTTAAGTTTCATCAATTTTATATCTAGAAAATTACATTAATACCTTTTTAAAAGGCTTATTATTATATAATATAAATAATGATTAGATGTGGATTTTTTTAAAAAAAAATTATTAATTTAATAAAGGTGGAATATGAAAATATGAATGATATTAATTTTACGAAGTTTAAAGATTTATAAAAAAAAAAAATAATAATAATAATATATTTTTTAATTAAAATTTTTGAAGGCTAAATTGGTAATTTTAAACCCAATTCCATGGGCCCCACGCCAGCATGCTGAGCTGGCTCGGATGCCAAGTAGACTGGCACTCTCATTCTCTAAATCTCACCATTCTTAAAAACCTCTCAAATCCCTCGTCCTCACACAACACATATCCACAGCCCAAATTTTCTCTCCCAAACACTCCTTTTCTCTCCGCCGTCTCAACCTCCACCATGCGGCGACCACTCTCTCTCTCCGCCGTCGTTCTGGCGCTGCCTCTCTTCCTCCTCCTCCTATTCTCCTCCACTGCTGAGGCTCACAACATTACCAGAATCCTCGCCAAACACCCCGAGTTCAGTACCTTTAACCACTACCTCACCATCACTCATCTCGCAGGCGAAATCAACCGTCGTCTCACTATCACCGTCCTCGCTCTCGACAACTCCGCCATGTCGGCGCTTCTCGACAAGCATTTCACCGTCGGCACCATCAAGAATGTGCTCTCGCTTCACGTTCTTGTCGATTACTACGGCGCCAAAAAGCTCCACCAGCTTTCTAAAGGTAGTACGCTCTCTTCTACTCTGTTTCAGGCCTCTGGTTCCGCCTTCGGCACCTCTGGTTATGTGAATATCACGAATGTTAAAGGCGGAAAAGTTGGATTTGCATCTGAAGATAATGGCGGTGAATTCAATTCGTTTTATGTCAAATCGGTTATGGAAATGCCCTACAATATCTCCATCTTGCAGATCAGCAAGGTACTCTCGGTTCTTATCTTTGCTAGGGCTAGAATCTAGATTAGGGCAAAATTTCGTTCTAATTAGCACGGATTTAAATCTAGAATTAGTGATCCATAATGACTGTTTTGAATAGGTTTATATTGCGAAAATTGGTTAGGATTAAATTTAATTTAATCATCATTGATTTCAGATGAACTGCAGGTGCATTTATGTGACCGACAAAAGGTCATTATTGTTATGGATCGGATTTTCTTATTAGAATATATTGTTCATATTATTTTACTCCAAGAAGACGACAATTCTGTGAGTAACGAACTGCTTTTTAACGAATTGAGTAACAAATTTTGCAGGTCATAACATCCGCCGATGCAGAGGCACCGACGGCGGCGCCGCTCAGTCTAAATGTGACGGAAGTTCTGCCGAAGCAAGGCTGCAAAGCCTTCACGGATTTGTTAATCGCCACCGGCGTTGCCGAGACCTATCAGTCGAACATCGACGGCGGATTGACGGTGTTTTGCCCTACGGATACCGCACTGAACGACTTTCTTCCGAAGTACAAGAATCTGACGGTGGCTCATAAGGTATCGCTGCTGTTGTACCACGGAATGCCGGTCTACCTCTCTCTGCAGATGCTCAAATCGAGCAACGGTGTCGTTAACACGCTCGCGACCCACGGCGGCAACAAGTACGATTTCAACATCAAGACCGACGGCGAGGACGTGATGGTGAAGACGAAGGTCGTGACGGCAGAGGTGACAGCGACGCTGATTGACTCAGAGCCGTTGGTGGTGTACGAGGTCGACAAGGTGCTGCAGCCGCGAGAGCTTTTCAAGGCGGTGCCCGAAGAGGAGGACGAAGAGGCCCCGGCTCCGAAAGAGGCACCGAAGAAGAAGAAGACAAAGGCGCCATCGCCTAAGGCGTCCGAGGGCGAGGAGGAGGAGGACGCCGACTCGCCAATCGGCTCCGACGAGTCCGACGGCGAACCGGCGGATCAGAAATCGGACAAAGATGGGGCGTTTGGATCGGAAGGTCAGAAATCGATCGTGGTGATGATGTTGAGTTTGTGGTTGGGTGTTTTGCTCGTATGATTTTTACAATAGAGGCGGCACGTGGCGCGATACTAGAGGTCCGTTATTCATAGAGCAAAATAAATGTCCACTTATATTCGGCGATTTTTATTTATCTTTTTTTTTTTATTATTATTTGTCGGTGATGCTTTTTTATTTTATTTTGTTTTATTTTTTCGTGGATGGTGTACAGTCACTCTAAATATCAAATTGGGTTGTATCTTTTTTATGCGATTTGGTTTTATTTTTTTTTCCACTTTGAAAAAAAAACTATAATTTATTTAAATTGGAATAATTGTTTAGTTTTTATTTGTTTATTTAAAATATCATTATTATTAATTACGTCGAAAATGATCTGGAATCTTAATTTTGTGTCGGTGGAATCAATCGTGAAGAAGTCCCGACATTTTGTTATTTTTGCACCTTTTTCATTTCAGTCTTCATCTTTTTGAATTTACAAGTTTAGTGCTCCAAGTTTTATTGGATTCCACATTTAGTGACATGTGTCGGTAAAAAAAAGTAGATAGAACAAACTACATACACCTTTAGTCATTCCAGACCTTTTTATTATAGTGAGGATGAGGGAGATATCGAGGACTGCATACACCTCATGTCATTTCCGACCTTTTAATTATTGTGAGGATGAGGGAGATACTGAGGACCGCATACACCTCTGGTCATTCTCGACCTTTTTATTATAGTGAGGATGAGGGAGATACTGAGGACTGCATACACCTCTGGTCATTCCCGACCTTTTTTATTATAGTGAGGATGAGGGAGATACTGAGGACTGCATACACCTCTAGTCATTCCTGGCCTTTTTATTATAGTGAGGATGAGGGAGATATCGAGGACTGCATACACCTCATGTCATTTCCGACCTTTTAATTATTGTGAGGATGAGGGAGATACTGAGGACCGCATACACCTCTGATCATTCCCGACCTTTTTTATTATAGTGAGGATGAGGGAGATACTGAGGACTGCATACACCTCTAGTCATTCCTGGCCTTTTTATTATAGTGAGGATGAGGGAGATATCGAGGACTGCATACACCTCATGTCATTTCCGACCTTTTAATTATTGTGAGGATGAGGGAGATACTGAGGACCGCATACACCTCTGATCATTCCCGACCTTTTTATTATAGTGAGGATGAGGGAGATACTAAGAACTGCATACACCCCTGGTCATTTCGACCTTTCCTTTTATTATAGTGAGGATGAGGGAGATACTGAGGATGTTCAGTCAACCAACAAGGAGCATGGGTCTCTGGGTCCACCTGCCCAGACAAGAAATATGAGACCGGTGGTAGGTCGTCCATGTATTATCTTGAAATTATGATAATATTTTCTTTTTTTGAATAAAAATTATGATTATTATATGCAAATTAACTTTAAACTAACAATAATGATTAATTTTAAGATTATTGTATAAAATAATCATACAAAATTTAGAACCATTCATAAATTAATTAATAATGATTTGTATTTAACAGAAGAATCTCACATCATATTTAAACTCAACAAATAGTTGGCATTACAATTAAAAAAAGTACTTCAAATATTCTATGGTACATTATTTTAGTACCATTCTGAGCATCTTATTAACTCTTCACCCTTATTGTCAACATTTAAGAAACAATATTGAATGCATCAAATCGACAAGTCATGTGACTAACTATTTACCAACAAATTATCGGTACTAGAAATTTTCTCGAACCCCAAAACCCGAACGTGTAAAGATGGTTTTATGGTACGACATGATCTACACACACAATGACTCCACAGATTCCTTTCAGCTTCTTGGAATGCAGAGGCTAGAGGAAGGTATCATTGTTGCTGTTGGAGTAGAGATAGCCTTTCCCCAGGTATCGGGAGTTCAGATGTCCAGTTTTGAATACAGGTAAGTCTTTTTACCAGAGGAAGAATATGTAGGTATCGCCGAGAGGCCGGTATAATTGTTGTTCGCTTTTGCTAAACATACTTTTGCCACGTAGTCGAAACCCGAGTTCTTTTTAACGAAGGTTTGATCTGCATATTCATCAATGGGCATCCACTGTTTAAGGGGGAGGGGGTCAGAATAGGGAAATGACATTCTCTAAAAGGAATGTTTGATGCATATAAATGTTTGATGTTCAAGAGGCCAAGGCCGAGCTAGTATCATATTCGTGGATGTGTGTTCTCAATCGACAGATTTATAAGACGACTAATCTAGACAGCCAGGCTGTTACCTGTTCTAAAGTTTAGATTATTAATCAATCATGGATATGGAAATCATGAATGGCATTCCCTAAAAGGAATGTTTGAGAAATGTAAATGTTTGATGTTAGTTTAAGAGGCCAAGGCCGAGCTAGTATCATATTCGTGGATACGTGTTCTTAACCAACAGTTTTATAAGACGACTAATCTAGACAGCCAGGCTGTTACCTGTCCTAAAGTTAAGATTATTGACCAATCATGGATATGGAAATTATCAATGGCATTCTCTAAAAGGAATGTGTTTATGCATATAAATGTTTGATGTTCAAGAGGCCAACATCGAGCTAGTATTATATTCGTGGGTGCGTGTCCTTAATCGACAGTTTTATAAGACGACTAATCTAGACAGCCAGGGTGTTACCTGTCCTAAAGTTTAGATTATTGATGAACCATGGATATGGAAACAATGGATTCCAAATTTGGGGCTCTCACTAATAGATGGAGGAGGAATGTTACTTCAAAATTTAAAAAGAAATGATATGACTCATTAATTATCAATCATGGTGTACTAAAATATACCTTGGCTGCCTCAATTTCTGAATTTTGCTTTTGAACGGCAAAGGAGCGCGGTTGTAACATGCATACGAAAAACAAATCCGATTTTGTAAAGAATGACCTGTGGCTTTGCCTGCATTACCCAAGGAAGGAGAAGATGGTAAGAATAACATTGAAGTAAAAATGGTAAGGATGGGATCCGTTCCCTTGACCAGTAAATGGAAATTTTGGTGCAGCCCGAGGCCCCCGCTAGTAGATATTGTCTACTATGACCCGATATGCATCGCTATCAGCCTCACGATTTTAAAATGTGTCTCACTAGGGAAAAGTTTCCACACTTTTAAGAAATGCTTCGTTCGCCTCTTCAATTGATGTGGGATTTCACAATCCACCCCCCTTGGGGGCCAGCATCCTCAATGGCACACTGTCTAATGTCTAGCTTTGATACCATTTGTAACCGTTCAAGACCACTGCTAGTAGATATTGTCCGCCTTGGTCCGTTATGTATCACCGTCAATCTCATGGTTTTAAAATGCGTCTACTAGGGAGTGGTTTCCACACTTTTATAAAGAATGCTTCGTTCCCCTCTTCAACCGACGTGGGATCTCACACTTTAGCACAATTATTTCAAGTATCGTGGGAGAGATTTCAAACCTGAATGCTAACACTTCTACAAATTCTGCATCAACCTGAAAGGAATTCAAATCGAACTGTTAAACATTTGAGAGAGAATGAAATTTAAAAAAAAAAATGCAACTTCTTGGTTGTTGTTACTTACACCAGTCTCTTCTTTTACTTCTCTAATTGCTGCTTCACAAATATCCTCTCCCTACAGAAAGAATAGTTACATTATAGCATAAGAATGCTTATTCAATTGAGACAAATGCGGCAAATTGAACTTTGCTTCACCTCATTAACCACTCCAGTTGGTAACTTCCAAACTCCTGTACCTTTGAATTTGCCACTGATCTCTTGAACCACTAGCACCTTAAGAATGGGAGTCTTAATGTTAGCTACTAGAAACAAAGAGCTCTTCTAAGTCTGAAACTTTCAAATAGACAGTAAATTATGAACATACTATTGCTTTTCAAATCACAGACAAACAGCATGGGTTAGGAAAGTACCTCTCGATTACTATTCATTACAAACGCACCGATGCCCACACGATGAGAAGCATTAGCAGGAATACTATTTGTAGTTTCAGAGATCCATCGCACGAGCATTAGGTAATCAGGTTCGGCATGGTGGAAAACAAACCCTTCCTGAAATCAAACAAAACAAGCAGGATTATTATGAGAAAGTGACTTGGACCAATCTACTTTTTCTCTAAGAAGATGCAAAAGGCAAGGGTATTTTAACTTTAGGCTAAATTAAACCACCATGGGTTGGCCTTGGATCATGTGAACAAAAGTAGAGGGATTTGAGAGGATTTAGTTTGAACCCTGTGGTGTCGACCAGTCTAGGATCAAATTGTAAGAGTTTCTCGACAACCAAATATTGTATGTCACGTTCTCATGGCTACTCATCGGTATAAAACAAAAAACAAAAATAAAAAACAACAAAAGGCTAAATTATAGTTTTTGCCCCTAGACTATATATGAATTTTCAAGTTTAGGAAGTTTTTGATACAAACTTCTCAATTGGGTCAAAATTACTGTAATAGCCCAAACCCACGGCTAGCAAATATTGTCCTCTTTGGGCTTTCCCTTTCGGGGTTCCCCTCAAGGTTTTAAAATGCGTCTACTAGGGAGAGATTTCCATACCCTTATATGCTTCGTTCTCCTCTCCAACCTATGTGGGATATCACAATCCACCCCCTTGGGGACCCAGCATCCTTGCTGGCACACTGCCTGATGTCTGGCTCTGATACCATTTGTAGCAGCCCAAACCTACCACTAGTAAATATTGTCCTCTTTAGGCTTTCCCTTTCGGACTTCCCCTCAAGGTTTTAAAACGCGTCTATTAGAGAGAGGTTTCCAAACCCTTATAAGGAATGCCTCATTCCCCTTTCCAACCGATGTGGGATGTCACAATTACTCTTTGGGTTTGCGCCATATTTAATGGAAACATGAAGTAGCATCCATGTGCATGCTTATATTTTGCTCTTAAATTGTAACAAGGTACCCAGTTTGCCCAAAGTGATTAATAAATGAGTATATACTTCTGCGTACTATAATTAGTGTAAGGATGATATTGAAACAGAAAATATATATTGGAAACTGTTTGAAAGTTTAACGGTAGTAGCAGAACTGAAAAATTCATACACAGTACAAGAGAAAAAACACATGATATAGCCTTTAACTCTGGGATGAAGTAGAAACTTTTTGAGAAAAAACACATATAAGGATGAATTTGTATGAACAAAATGTACCTTAACAACAACTTCAATAAGATTTGCAAGTTTAATAGGCAACTTGATCCAAATACCCCTCTTACCCTGCAAATCAAAATGCAAACAGAAACCATAAATGAGAGTTGAAGCTTACAACAAGGAACCATGTTCAACCTGTAACAGGGCACTCAAATACCAGTTGTTTCCATTGAGATAATGAAGCTCTTAGCAAAGAACCAAATTCATTTGGATCCATAGGATCCTTCATTTCCACAATAACTCCTTCATAATTATCATAAACTCCAGGCAATAATTCAAGCTGTTCAATGTTATCCAGAGGAGTCTCGTTCTCAGAAATTGCCAATGAAGTTGATGAAGAAGACATGCCTCGGCTAAGAGATGGAGTTTTGTTTGATAAATATGAAGCCGCAACTGCAAGAATGATAAACAAGGAAAAGCCCCAAAAATGAGTCCATGATAATAAGTCCATATGATTCAGCAAGAATTTCAACACAAACAAATCCATATCTTCAAATTTCAATTCTAGTTTGAAAAACGGAATTCGGATTTCGTCACAATAATCGAGAAAGAACTCATTAAATTACAGGAGAAATCGGAAATTCCATGAAATAACCCACATAGAATCAGCTACGCACAACAACGACAAGAAAACGGATTAAAAAATGAAAGTCATACGTGTTATAATGCCCAAAAGAGAAGACGACGGATAGTTCAAGGAAACTGGATTCGACGAGGGATGAAGTGCAGCGGAGGCCATTGGAGACCAAAACGCTTTATGTACGGAGAGACAAGGATATAGTTTATTACTCTTAAGCCTCCACATGAAGGAAAATCAACCAACAAAAGCCTAATCTCGCTGTGATTTGAGTAAAATCAAAACAAACAAAATCAGAGAACGTGGAGATTAGGTTAAATCGATAATGAAGATTTATAAGAAAGAAAAAAGAACTAGCGATTGCCTTGAATTTCGGTTCAAAGACTTTGAAGCTTCCATTGAATATGCGAAGATTTGAAGAGTAATCAGTACTGATGACGCCGCGTTGATTCGTTCTTCCACGAATCAATGGTGCGTTCTGCGCGACCTGATTGTGGCCTTTTTCTTTTCTTCGGAATTTCTTGGAAGATTTCACCTTCAAACACGAAAATATGTCCCTAATTCTTCTTGCAAATTCCAAATTGAAGAAGCTTGACGAAATGAATATGAATTCGGTTTAGGATTTTTACTTGGAATTGATCGCTTCTTAAATTTATTGCTCATTTTGATTCTCAATTCATATATTTTTTCAGTTCACTTCCGAAAAAGTTAGAAGAACTTTTCATTTTTTTTTCCTTTAATTTTTAAAGCTTGAATTAAGATTTAGGGAGATGTTGAATAATAATAATAAATTTAATATATATATATATATATATATATATATATATAATTAATTAATTAATTAATTAGACAATGTGATTTCTTACCAAGTTAAATTTTTATTTTTATAATTTAATAAAATTTCATAAATGGATGATAAAATTCTAGTAAATAGTAGTGACATTTGTTTAATATATATTTTTAAAAATTACATTCTAAATATTTAAAATTTTATTATTCTGACGTAATAAATATTTAAAATTACAATGGTTAACTTTGACTTTTATGTAACAACTCAAGTCAACCGTTAGTAGATAATGTCCACTTTGGCTTCTTATGTATCAGTGGCAGTTTTACAGTTTTAAAACACATCTACTAGAGAGAGGTTTTCTTATAAGAAATGTTTCATTCCCTTCTACAACCGACATGAGATCTCACAATCCACCCTCCTCGGGGGTCTAACGTTCTCACTGGCACACAGCTTAGCGTCTGGCTGTGATACCATTCACAACAACTCAAACCGACCATTAACATATATTATCCAGTTTGGTCTGTTATGTATCACCGCCAACCTCGCGATTTTAAAATACATCTATTAGGGAGAGGTTTCCACCCATTGTAAGGAATGTTATGTTTTGTTTCTCTCTCTAACCAATGTAAGATCTCACGTTTGTTGAGATTGATAGATTTCAGTCATATGAGTTACGAGTTATGTTTAGTCATGGATTTTACGAGACCGATAGTCATGTATGAATTGATGATAGACGATATGAATGTCAATCAAGTGAGTATGAGTTATGATTATGTACGGATGTGTGCTATGTTGCACCATATCATCGAATCAGTGGGACCTTATGTAACTCTATTTCGTGTTCTTTTTTTCGTTGGTTTCGATATTCTCGAGCATGTGCCTGCACATAGCTAGGTCTAGGAAGAATTAATACTCGCCTAGAAGGTCTATGTGCATGTACACGACCGTGTATAAGTAAATGCACATCCAATTTTGTTCGAAAAAATATGGGATTTTAAGATCAATCATGATAGTTATCGTGATGTCCCACATTGGTTGGGGAGGAGAACAAAACATCATTTATAAGGGCATGGGAATCTTCCCGTAGCAGATGCGTTTTAAAGCTTTAAGGGGAAGCTCGAAAGAGAAAGCCCAAAGAGGACAATATCTGCTAGCGGTGGGCCAGGGTCGTTACAAATGGTATTAGAGCTAGACACGGGACGATGTGCCAGCCTTCTTATGTGGCACGGGCGATTGACATGTTTTTGAAAGAACGAAATTTCATGCATGTACACTTTTTAGTCCAAACATTTTAAATAATATTTTAATTAATAAGATTAATTTTTATAAATTTAGGAACATACGTGGATTACGGTCAGGGTCACGGGCACGGGCACGGGCACGGCAGTGAAGTTACCAAATCCGGAGGTTAGAAGAAGGCAAAAGACGAAAAATACAAAAAGTAGTAGGGGTAAAAGGGACAATTCGCTACGCCTCTGCTTTTTCGTAGAGCGCTTGTTTGGCGGTTATCAAGATTTTCCCCCTCTCCCTCTCTCTATATATATATTAGAACAACAACAACACACCAGCAATTTCGAATTTCCAGCAACAAATTCATTCAACAATTTGCATCACCAAATTTGATTCTTCTCTCTAACTCTCTCTTCTGGTTAATCGATTTCACGGCGGTTTTCTAGTGCTCAGAGAGAGTGAAGGAAGGAGGTAAGTGAAAGCTTCAGCTCTGAGTATACTTACGAAATCTGTTTTGGCATTCTTGTTTGTTATCTGCCTCTGTTATTATTGTAGTGGTTGTTGAAAATTTGGAAGTATGATTGTTTATAGATCTGTACTGGTTGATCTGAAGAAGCGTGATTCTGTGAGGTGGATTTTTAGTGTTTGTTGTTGTAGATCTTGCTTTATGTCTTCTTCAATCTGCTTCGGATGGTTTTTCTGAACTGTTTGGATGATTTGGTAGTCGAATGGTGATGGATGTTCTGGATGCGTGTGTGTTTTTTTTATTGTGATTGTGATTGGAGTTCCTTTTTTGGAATGGATGAAATGCGATGGTTGTTGATGATTAATGGCGACTTTGATGTACGTATTTATCTGCATTGAACGAGAACGGTTTCGTTTTAAGCGCTTTTTGGTTTTTGGATTTAGTTTTTGAAATTTGGAGGATTATGAAATATTGTAGAAACAGAAAGCGAAGATATTATCGTGTGATTTTTTATTTGACTTCATTGTTTCTTTTATCCTCTTCCCCCCCCCCCCCCCCCCCCCCCCCCCCCCCCC